AGCGAAAGAGGCACAATGCGCGAGGTATTTATAATCCATATTGGCCAACTTGTAGCTGTCTAGGCCGTGGATGTGCTCAGGGGACTATCACTATCGTGCCTAGTTCTGTACAGGAAGAGATGGGATTACAGCAGTAGGAGTTATTTATTGTATACAGAAACCCTTTGGTGGTCTGAAGCCCCGACACGCGGCAGGCCCGGAGTCTTATTGACTGATTGTATGGATTCGCTGACTGCGTGGTCGAAAATCTGAGGCTTTTAAACAGCCACTTTTCCAGCCAGTATTTTGGAAATTTTTCAGGTTATAGGACTGGCCGGAGAGGAGCGGCGTGTCTGTTCACCTTTGGAAGATCATGGAATCGAATCTCGGGCCGTTTCGTTTACTCTAGCCAGGCGTTCATCTTAATTTCCAACAGTGTCGTGCTGATCTCTCATGTCAGTGTTTTTATGAGGTTTGATTCGCATGGGACACAAATCAGACACTCCTCTGATAACATTTTGGCTTTCTGCATGTAGGTTCTTTTGTTCTATACGACCACTGAACATCCCTTGAACACAGGTATGATAACGAGGTCACTGTTTGCCTCGAGCTCCCTGAGTACATCGCATTTGACCTTGCAAGGCACGTCGCGTGGCCTATGAGGGAAGATAACAGTTTGTATCAAATAAAGTTCACCGCTTCGTCGGTTGCTTATGTTCGGCTCAGGACTATCTCCACTGTTGCCACAATGTTGGCATGTTTGGGTCGACTCTGTTAAATGAGGTGTCGTGGCAAAATACACAAAATTTGTTCTCTGTCAGTTCCTTTGAAGACATGCTGTGTATCAGTTCGTTTTTTTTCAAGAAGTTAAAACAGGCAGCTTACGAAACCCGTTCTCTAGTGTTGCTTTGCATATCGCTCCTTGTTTGCTGGTCCTTTTCATCACACCCTACTAAAGCAATTTTGTAGAGTTCTCACCCATGAAATCGCCGCACATTGCCTTCTCTTGGTCAATTCTCTGACATTATTTGGAATGCCGACGTTGACACTCTTAAAGGAGCGTGCCCAGCTACCAGCCTAATCCCTTTCTGATAATCTCATCACGTTTCGTTTTCTGAACTGTTTGTTTTAACGTGACGGACCAAACTCGGCATATCAACTGCGCGACGTTTTGAAGCTCAACAATCAGGTCCTTGAACATTTTTCAATATTAACTTTGTCCCTCTACCGGCTTTTTATAATGTTTTTCTCGTATAGGATACGTAAGCTATGTTCGTTAGTGATTTCCAATGTTAACGCATGTTGTTGCTTTTACCTAGCCCGATTTTTGTCAACTTCCTCTACAAAATTATTTCATGCACATCGAATCTTTCCTTTAATCTAACGTCGCCAAGTAGCTGGCGAAGTAAAACACATTTGTGGAGGTTCTGTCCGCTATTGTTATCTCTCAGGTCCCGACC